AGATATCATAAAAGCATGAGGGAAAAATAAGGAAATGAGAACTCGAGGAACTGGGGCAAGAAATGTAAAAACTACAGCAATTTAGCATCAATGAATCAAAAAGCATCGCAAAGGTATATCAGCAAACAATTAGAGCTGAAAGTTAAAATTCCAACTCCCCCCCGCCCCGGATAAAGGAGAAGGATTTAGAAGCTTGAGGTGCAGACAATCTGTGGCGTGGCAGAGGGCAACAGGTACTTCGACCTGAAGATTTCCGGCCACCCACAAATTAAAACATGTAGCCACACTTAGAAATAGTTGTACAGTAGCAGAAAACTATTTGTTTAAAGATCAAAAGCAGAGGTTATAAGGAAAACCTCAAGTAGAAGGGCCCGGGAAGATGGCAAGCATGCACAAAAAATGGCAGAGATCAGAGAGGAGAAACAGAAAAAGGAAAAAACTGCAAAGAAGGAAATGAAACCTGTGAAACAAGATTACGCAACTGCCGTACTGCTTGTGGAGATCCATCCATAAAATATAACGCACCAGACAATCCAACCCGGATATCCACTCGATTTAGTTCAAGTTCAGTCAAATTTAGAACCTGCAAAAGTTCAATAAATTAGAAGTTATTATTTCCCCTTTCAGAAATTAGCGGCCGAAGTGCTATTGCTAAGATAAAAAAATCACAAAATTTAGATGCTATGGAGACATTTAAGTATTATATATAACACAGTCACTAGATTGCGCAGAATAGGAATAGCAACTACAAATAGAGGGGGTTCAGAAGCATATAATTGTGAATAGTATTCACCTTCAAATGTAGAGTTATTCTCCCATCACTTGAATCTGCTAAATGGTAAGCTTCAACATAGCACGGATCACTGCTACCAGTCAAAGTACATGCAGTAGGAGGAACCTTAAGTGATGTTGAGTCAATCCCCTTTGTCAGCAAAAGAGTTAATTCACTAGGATCTGGCCTCCAAAGCTCCAAAATAGCCTTATGAATCAGTCCTTCCAGTTTTCTGTCTTGGGCAGCTGCAGCTTCATAAAACTGAACAGTAAGTTTATGGTGGCTGAATGGATAATCTCCTCTGGCCTCACTAACACCAGCCCACCTGAAATAGAAACAAGATGCCTCTGTTTCACGCCAAAATTCAAGAGGAGAAACAAGAGATACAAGAGATCATACTACAATTGCAAAATTAATTAGAAACATACTGGTTTAACAACTACGTATATTTTTGTGTATAGAAAAATATGAATTTTTTAAAAAAATAAATAGGAAAATATGATTTATTTTTTAAATAAATAGAAAAAGATGAATTTAACAAATAAAAATTGGAAGGAAGCATAGTTTTATACAAACAAGAGATGATGGCCAATTATTTTTATCTCAACTACCTTGTAGATGTGAAATCACATTTTACCCAAGTTCGGAAAATTACAGGGGAAAAACACCAAGGAACCAACACATGACATTCATGAGTAACCCCACACTGGATAGCAGCAACAAACTTTGTTGACACTGATCCTTCAACATTTAGCACATGGAACATCATTAACAAAAATCAAATAATTATATACTGCACTCACTTGCTTTCTGTATGATCCAAGACATATTTGATTCTCCGCAATATAAGACGGCACTGATGCTTGCTTACAGAATCAGCCAAACTATTATTTCTATACTCTTCAAGTTCTTTAGTTAGTAATTGGCCAGCCCTGGGATGACGTGATCCCAACCGCTGAGCAGATAAAAGAACTGCCTGAACATCTTGCAGCCTGTTTGACGTATTTGCAGATGAATCTATGTTGAATAGAACTTTGTGAATATTTGATATAATAATATTCAGTGGATCCTCAGGGTCATCGGCTAGAAGAGGATCTAAACCTTCTAGATCAATGTGTTCTGAAATAGCCCAGATAACACGAGCACAGATTCTTGGAGTATTTACCTATCAAATTAACTATGATGTTATTTGATCATAAATGGACAAGAATACTCAATAGCTGTTGCACACAAAATGCAAGAGCCATAATAATTATCCAGTAAAAATTTTGAAACCTAAGAACGAGTAAGGAGTACGAGATAAAAGGTAATATTTTGTCCACAATGAATCTACAATAATTAGTTCTCCAATGAGCAGGTAACTAGCAGCAACAATCAGAAAAAACAAATTTCTATTTATTCATGATATCACTATTAAATGTTATTGTGCCCATTTAATTATCCTGTTACTAGTAAAAGTACTATTAATTCTTTGACAGAACTTACGAACAGTATAAAGATCAGAGGCTGCCTATAGCTTACTACCTTAACTCCCAACTTGTTGGTTCACAGATTGGTAATTACGTGACTGACTTAGCTCCATAAGCAGAAAGTAAAAATTAATCAAACAGATTTCTGGAAGTGCAGCAGATACGCATCATAAAATTATGACAACTTCTCTTGCCAGAATTGATAGAAATATAGATAACACACATAAATTTTATTTTCCAGCGAAAGGTTTAATACCTCTCGAAGATCTTTGACAAGTTCACGTTGCAAGTTTTGCAACCTTGTCTCGTTCAAGATTTGATCTTGAGAAGCTCCATCTTTAATTTTCTTTACACCTCCCCTTGTATCATAGATATGACACAGCCTAACAAGCAACTTCAAATAGCAATCAATTGCATAAGTCCGGCCATCACAATGCCATTTGACACAAGGCCTGCAAACTTCTACAACTTCTAAGGCTGGCTCTGTCCAGTTCAGTGCACCATAACCAGTTCCATAGGCTAACGCACCAATCACTCTGCTTTCCATCCCAGAGTTCTTCTGTACAGGCAAGGGTAGAGACAACTGGAAGCAACTCTCCACAAGCATTGCCACTAACTCCTCCCTAAACAAGCTTTTACTTGTGACACTATTTAGATCATCTCTTATCCTTGAATCCTCAAAAAGAGAGGCAATATCTGTACCTGCAAGAGGCTTCTGACCCCTTCGGACACTTTCCTTTGCAAAGAGATCAACACATAGGGCTGTCCGACAAATGCAGGCTAATGCATGCATTCGATCTGACTCTGCTCTCAAGTTTCTCACCATCAGAAGCAGCCTTCTAAACAATGAAACCTTCAAGAATAAATTCTAAACATTAGATCAAGCTTAAAATTACATTATCCATATCCGTTCCCATAATAATTACAATTATATAACTGAACATGGATGTTCTTTCCCATTTCTTCATAACCAGTGTTGATAAGAGCGATAAGAAATGTCATATAGTCATACAGGCCTGTAATATATCTTCAATCAGCTTGTTCGTTAACTTTAATCATAAAAGGAACACATTTTTTCACTTAATTTACTTGCAATTTGCTTGCAGTATAAAAATTAGTTTCAGCTGCATCTTCAAGCAAACTCTCAGATTCCCTATCTGTCTTCTACCAAGTGCAGTGCTCAAAAAGTAAAATAATGTTCCTGACTGTACTAATATCGCTACCACCCATATCAATATTCAAACAGAAGAGCTCACAACTGAAGGTAGAAGGAACACACGAATTTACCTGCATATGAAGATCGAGCAGGTGTAAATTTGTAACAACAGCCCTGACAATACTTTCCCTTGCAGAAGAAAATTCCTGTCTGTCCCACAGCGTCAAGATCGCGATAATGGACTGGGAGGCCCACTCCGGCTTCCCTCCAGCCACATCCGCCAGATACAACATGTTGATCCCCACCTCGAAAATCAACGCCGGATCCAGTGAAGACGCTAGGAACGGAGCCAAATGCGTCACCAAGTCTGAGACTCCAACCAGTTTCTCCGCATTAGAGTCGACTACTGCTCCTTTCACCGCACTAGATGAGGCCTTGGAGAGCTTCCTGATTACCTCCACGCTTCCTGACGCCACCGCCTTCACAGCGTAAACCAAGGGGAAGACCGTGGCTCGGAAGCTCTCAACGGGAAGGACCAGCGACCTTGCCATCAAAGCGCTCCTCTTCCTCCACACGAAATCCACCATTGACGACACCCAATTGGACCGTATAGCCAGAGAGTTCTCGCTATCCACCAGCTTGTCCCCCGCAAGCTTGCTCATCCGCTTAGAATCGAATTCCTGAAACAGCTTGTGAACGGACTCGAAAGCGACCTTTGAAACCGCATCGGATCGGTCGAGCATGTTCTGGCCAATACGAGACCACCAGGTGGATACTTTGTCAAGGAGGTTAACATTGTTCTCGCAGAGCGTGACGAGGTCGTCGCGAGCAAGTATGCAACCAAGCGTCTCGGTAATGGAGAATCGAAGGTTGTCAGACGGCGAATCAAAGCAGCCGGAGATCTCCGCATTGCAATCAGATATAAGCTTCCCGAGAGAAAACGAAGGAATCGCAGCGAGCATAGATACTGCTGCGGCAGTGACATCCGGGTCAGGGAAGTGAAGATCAGACCGGATTCCGGCACAGACCGAGTCCCACAGGTCAGCCGTGAGACGCGTAGACCGAATAAGGTCGAAGGCGAGCTTCTTACATACCGCGGAAGCCGGCACCGCGACGATCTCCTCCACGGCGGACTTAGCAATGACGGAGATATCGCGGCCAGCGGCGGACTGCTGCAGCGCCTGAAGGAGTGCGCCAGACTGCCGGAGCGCGTCGTTGGAGCGGAGGTCTGCTTGGATCTGCGCAAAGAGGATATCCATTTCGTTTATCCTTTCAAAATTCCGTAAAAATCAACAGAAAAAGTTTCTCTCCTCCTCCTCCTCACTCGTGTTTGTCGACGAGTGTGGTGTTGGACATGTCGATTGTGTTAGTTCGATAGTTGAATTGAATCTGCAACATCCTTGTTTTTGAACTTCTTTCTGAATCTCAGAGTATTATCGCTTCCATTTTCCCTCTTGTTGCAGAAAATATAAATCGAAGATGAAGATGAAGGTCTTGGAAGATGTCACTGTGTTTGGGCTTTTTTCAGTTGAGGAGTTCGGGTCCAGAGGCCGACGTCGTTTCGCATGCTAATCATATAAAATAATAATAATAATTTAAAAATAAATTATTTTCTTAATGTTCGCTTGTCAAATTATTGAATTAAACTTAATTATCTAATTTTTCCTTTAAACAACATTAAATAAATTTATTTTAAAAGTAAAAATTCTATTTATTTTTTACCCCTATCTTATTTTCTTTTGAAAATTTATTATTTTCAAAAATAATGAAAATCAAATTAAAATATTTAATTTTTGAAAGTAGAATATCAAGTTTAAATTAACTTTAATAAGTTAAAGTTTTTATCAAATAAAATCATTAAAAATATTGAATTTATGTTAAAAAATTAATATTTACTGAGAATTACATAATTAGAATTCAGTAATTTACTATTACCAATTTGAATTATAATTTTTGAGAATGAATAATTGTGATCTCTAAAATATTTTTGTGTATAATATTGAAATTTATAATTTATAATTTTTTTTTTATAATAAAAAAGTACAGTAGTTAAATAAAATAGATAATTTAAAGTAATTAATTAGACAAAAGTATTTTTTAAAAAATTCTTTAATTATTTAAACATACTATAACTTTTTAAATTTTTTATATTTAAAAATATAATTGATTAAACATTTAAAGCAAATAACATATATTCTGTATAATTAAAATATCTAGCGCCAAAAGAAATTGGTTTTCGATATATTTTTAATTATCTTTTTGGAACAAAATAAATTATAATTGGCTGTACGAGTAAAAAATAATTTTATTTATATATTGTCTAATTAAATATTATTTAATTATTATATATATATATATATATATTTCCCTCCAATTGGGATTTCTCCGTATAAAATAGAATCAGTCCAATTCCCAAATTTTTTTTTTTACTTTTTCTAAAGAAATTCCAATTTCACAATCAGTCCATTTTCATCTCTTATCTTCGAAGAGCTGCAATCCAGAAACTAGCTGCCTTCTTCAGAAAATATCCTAAACGATATCTATCTAAACAGAAGAAATCTCAAATCCGTCAACCAAAATTCAATCATATTCATAAACCCTAACCCTAATAATGTTAGTCACCGTGGAAGTTACTTCTCTGCAGAGCAGATGTTTAACGGTTCCACTTCGCTCTTTGCCATTTTTTGGTGTTTCGCACTCTGTTTTCAAAACCCCCATACTCGTTTCTCCTTTTCAATCAATTCGTAGAAAAAGCTGCTGCTTAGCTTCATCAAGCTCCGACACCTTAGTGGTGGGTTCGCGCAAGGAAGATGGGAAGGAAAGCGAAGTTGTGAGCAAGAAGGAGGATGAATTTGGGGAGTTGAAATATTGGATGCACAAGAACGGGTTGCCTCCTTGCAAAGTTGTTCTTGAGGAGCGGCCTTCTCATGATGAGAAGCATAAGCCTATACACTACATTGCTGCTAGCGAGGACTTACAGGTGGTTGTCAATTTTATGATTCATTTTGGTTCCCGGCTTTTAAATTGGGAAACTTATTGAAGCTCTGGTTTGGAAATAAATGGTGGATTGTAGGCTGGTGATGTTGCCTTTTCAGTTCCAAATTCGTTGGTCGTGACGCTGGAAAGAGTATTGGGGAATGAAACTATTGGTAATGCAGAGTTTGCGTTTCAATTTCCATGGAAGAAATATATATTTTTTCAGAGTTGAAAATTATAGTCGTATAATTTTTAATCTAATCATGATACATGGTTTATTCACTGAAAGTTCACTTGGTAAAGCTTCTCTATTCCCATCTACACCAGTTACTTGAAAGAAGCTATCTTTAATATTTCTTGAATAAGGAACATGAGAATACACATTAAAGCGAGGCAAGGTGATTATGATAGTGTCAGAACCAATATAAGACTGGCTTAGTGTAATTTGGATCATGTCAGGGCATCAATCATGTTAATTGAGCCAAGAGGGAATCCTTTCATGAATTTAAATAACCAGGTAACTACTCAAAAATAGCTAGGTAACTAAGTATATTTCTAAGATCCAAGACAAAGCTTCAGATTTTTGGTTGACTTTTACGATAAAATGTGGCAAATAGATGGGTTGCAAGAGGAGCATGTATCCATACTAATGGGAGTGAAGATCACAGATTCATTTCCTTCCTTTCTCCAATCCTGCTTCAGTCTAGGACTAGCTAGTACTGATTGATGGAAGATACATAAACTTTGTACGCATGTTTAAAATCTTCTTCTAGGCTTGATAAGATTTTGTTCAGTTGGCTGATTAGTGTTACTTGCTTGGACTTTCATACAGCGGAACTATTGACCACAAATAAGTTGTCAGAATTGGCATGCTTAGCACTTTACTTGATGTATGAGAAGAAACAAGGAAAGAAGTCATTTTGGTATCCTTACATCAGAGAGCTTGATCGTCAGCGAGGGAGAGGTCAACTTGCTGTGGAATCCCCGATTCTGTGGACAGAAGCTGAATTGGCTTACCTAACAGGTAGCCCCACTAAGGTATAATCAATAATGTGCTTTTGCCATCTTTTTAGCTGTTGGGAGATGATTATCGGTTATGTGATGCTAGCTGACTACCTGCATATTTATATATGGTGGGATAGTTGGTTGTTTAGAAAGTTTTGACATTCTATTCCACCTTTGATAATCAGGCAGAAGTTCTTGAGAGAGCTGAAGGAATTAAAAGGGAGTATAATGAGCTTGACACTGTCTGGTTTATGGCTGGATCCCTGTTTCAGGTTTTTAAGTGGCATCGCTATCGTTTGTTTACTCTGAATGTTGTGACTCTTCTTTCTCAAGAACTGCAACTCGGTACTTCGTATGATCATCCCCCGAGATAATTTGACTACCACTTTGCCTTTTGCAGCAATATCCATATGATATACCCACTGAAGCCTTTCCTTTTGAGATTTTCAAACAAGCTTTTGTTGCAGTTCAGTCTTGTGTGGTGCATTTGCAGGTTTGTCCATTTACCAGTGAACACTTCTTTTCTTTTCTTTTTACTCTCTGTTTTCCCAATTCATGAGGGGACAGAGTTATTAGATAGTTATATACTGGGTTCTTTATGTTTTCATTTACTTTTCATGTTAGAAAATGTTGTTGGTTAAGTTTGTTAATAATGGTGCATCTGAAATATGCACGTGGCATGCCCTTTTTTTTAGATATGATCGTTTTTGCATAATGTGTATATGTCAGATGTAATGCTGCATCTACAGTTATGTTATTTTCTCTTCAATGCGTTTTTGATGGTCATAGAATTTGCTTGGTGTTCCCTGGATCATCTAATATGTTTTCTAGAGTATAAAGGTAGCACAAATGCTTAATTGATATAGTGTTCAAAAGGTTGAAGCAGTGACTGGTATGGCTACAGGTGAAATTTTCACCTGAATTTTTGGTTTATTGATCACTTATAAGGTAGCTAACCTGTTAGTAATTATGCACACTTTATCATATTGTCATTAGTTCCTTTATTAGAAGAACATGTAGAAGGTTATTTGTTCCTTACAATTTACTGCATTGCTTTTACTTTTTACCAGCATTGTCTGTTATATTATCCTCTTATTTTCTTTCAAAGACAAGGCATTCAAATGATGAATCAGTGCTGTATGAACTCAGAAAGTCAGTTTAGCTCGAAGGTTTGCTTTGGTTCCTCTTGGACCCCCACTGCTAGCCTATAGGAGTAACTGCAAGGCAATGCTCAGTGCTGTTGATGGTGCTGTCGAACTAGTGGTTGATCGCTCATACAAAGCTGGGGATCCCATTGTTGTCTGGTATCACTCATGGCTGGAGATCCCATTGTTCTTAGTCTTCTGTGATTGGACCTTATTTCCTTGCTAATATTTCTTCTCTCTCTCTCTCTCTCTCTCTCAGGTGTGGACCACAGCCTAATTCGAAATTGCTTCTGAATTATGGATTTGTTGATGAAGATAATTCTTATGATCGTATAGTGGTTGAGGTAAAATCTAGCCTTTTATCTTCTAGTTGGTAATATTGCATTTTTCATGTCAACCATGTTCATTTGTTTTGGTTGTGATATGTTACAGGCAGCTTTGAACACTGAGGATCCTCAATATCAGGACAAGAGAATGGTTGCTCAAAGGAATGGAAAACTATCAAGACAGGCTTTTCATGTAGGTATTTCATATCTTCTATTAATGCAAACAATTCTTTGGTGCTTTCTTCTGATCTTTACATTATTTCTGGTGCAGGTATCTAGGGGAAAAGAAAAAGAAGCAGTTTCAGAAATGCTCCCTTATCTGCGACTGGGTTATGTATCAGATCCTACTGAAATGCAATCTGTTATTTCTTCTCAAGGTCCAGTTTGTCCAGTAAGTTATATTCCAATTTGTGCTTATTCTTTCAAATATGTTTCTGACATTTGGTTCAGTTCCATTTTTATCTTTGGAATTCGAAGTGTACAATAGTAATTATTTTTTTTAAAAAAAGTGTACAATAGTAATGTTATAATTATACATATCAAGACTAGTACTATGAAAAGGAAGAAGATAAAATTCAAATGAAATTGAATCTAATATGCCATAAGGATTAACTACTGTCATTTCCTAGGAATTATGTTGAACTTTTATTGATGATTGTAGGTAAGCCCTTGCATGGAAAGAGCAGTGTTGGACCAACTTGCTGATTACTTCAAAACCCGCCTTGCTGGCTATCCTACTTCTATAGCTGAAGATGAGTCATTGGTAATTTTGGCCTCTTCATTCATTATTCTCAGATCCTAGTGTTGTTGTGACTGAGATTTGACTGGTGTTCTATTTGTCAGTTGGCAGATCCTAAATTGAATCCTAAGAAACGAGTTGCAACTCAACTTGTGAGGTTGGAAAAGAAAATGTTAACAGCATGCCTGCAGGCAACAACTGATCTGGTGAAACAACTGCCTGATGACACGGTCTCTCCATGCCCAGCACCATATGCCCCTTTGTTGAGATAAAAAAGCATGTTCTCTCTCTCTCTCTCTCTCTCTCTCTCTCTCGCTCTCTCGCTCTCTTTCTCTCGCTCTCTCGCTCTCTCTCTTCCCCCACCCGGGACCACCTGAACAAAAAAAGAGAAACGAAAAGGAAAAAAATAACTTATTGTTGTATGCTACATCTATGTATTATATTAACACTAATTTGTTGTAAGTTTCTTGCAGATTGATTATGTCAATGACAATCTTCTAAAGTTGGAGAACTTATTTTTCTTGGACATTTTCAGTTCCACTGGGAGAATGTAAACTAGGTCAGTGATATGGAACCTTGCAGAAAACTTGTAATCATCATTTCCTGATCCTTGAGGCTTTAATAAAGCAAGATGATAACATATATATATGTATGTCTCGCACTTATCTAGTCGATAATACATACATATATATCTCAGCCAAACTAGATCAGCAAAAAGGAAAATCTAAGTTTGGAAAAGATTCATGACTCTCTTGTATGAGCTACAAGATATTTCTGGAACTCCTGAAACAGGAAGTTGAAATGTCAAATAATTTTTGTTAGGGTGATTATTCTACTCATTATGTCCTCAGCTGTGATTTTTTGTTTTTCTGTTTGCAGATAGATTTAAGCTGCTGTATTATGCCTACCAACAAGAAGTGGAGCGTGTAGCTGAGTCTAGAAAGTGTATAAAAGCAACCTGAAGCTATGCTTGTCTATTCAAATGTGCAGATCACAAGCTGTGAAATGAAGGGTTGCTTCCCTAAGTATTGGCAATTTTTTCCCCCCCTGCCTGCCTTCTCCCCGATTTTCCGTTCCCTTGCTGTCATGTATTCACTCTGAAAATGTGGATATAATCTGCCAGTGAGCTTGTTATTATACCATTCCATGAGTGAGGTAAAAATTCACCACCTGTAATTTGGCAATTCTTGTTTCCCATTCTTTGTAAATGCAGACCTGGATGACGCTGATTAATCAAATCCCATTTCCACAACTTTTGTGCTACATATTGGGGTTCTTATTGGCATTGATTTCCTCACTTAGTTTCTCAATAAAGGGATTGTTTTACTCCATTGCTCAGCCACCTAGTCATGTTTGCATCTTTTTCCAACCCTAAAATTTCTGTTTATGGAAAAAAGCTATGATGGCAGCCTGAGGAAAATGTTTTAACTGGTTTTAATGTAAGAATCAGCTTTAAAACAGTGGTCTCCTGTCAATTGTCTCATGAGAAAATCATTTCCACATATTCATAAATCATTATTATGTGAACGTGTACAGGAAATTAATTTTAGTACTAATT